CTCGACTTGATCTTTATTGAATTGTTACATTCTTGTGTAAATTTGTTTGTATGGTAGTCATTGATTAGTTCCTAAAGTACAAAGATCATTTTTGGGACCCACATGACATTGTAGATATCCAAGTTAGTCTCTTGTTTGCCTTTCTTGCCTACAATCCTGTTTAAGGTTAGACAACATCCATTATAATATATATTTCCCCCCAAGAATTTATCATTGAAGAAATGAATGCAAATTCAACAAGTTTCCTTCCAAAAAATGACTCAGAGGTACATTATCAGGCATTTGTTATGCCCCGCCATGAATATGGCTGGGGCATATAGTGTTTGTCATGTCCGTCTTCCGTCCTTCTGTCTTGCCATCTGTCTATCCTTCCGTCACACTTTTTTTTAGCTCAGTTTCAAATTAACTAATCCAAGATATTTACAACAAACTTCGTATATTGATAGATCGATGAGAGCTATGCAGCTGCATCAACATTTTTTTACCTTTCCTTTTACCTTGACCTCACTTTTTATACGCCCGTCTTAAGACGGGACGTATTATGTTATAGGCTTCTTTGTCCGTCCGTCTGTCTGTCTGTTAGCTTTTCGTTTCCGGCTCATAACTTTAATACTATTAGGCCTAGGATTATCAAACTTTGTCATCTGATGCATCTTGGGTAGAAGGTGTGTCGCACACAAAAAGTAGGTCGCTCTGACCTTTAATTAAGAAGATATAGCCAAATATGGAAAAATCCTTTCCGGCCCATAACTAGAAAACTATAAGACTTACAATCATCAAACTTGGCCAGTTTATGCATCTTAGGTAGAAGGTGTGTCGCGACCTATTTCAAGGTCACTGTGACCTTTGATTTAAATGAAATTTTTAAAAAAAAATGTGTCTTTTTACTATTCATTTACACATCCCAAATAATGTAAGAGTATTGCACTGTCCTTATTAAAAAAGTGTTAAATCAAGAAAATACTTATTTTTTTAAAGCATATACTTGACAGCAATCTATAACAAACATTATGTATGTTAAAGAAATCCTACCTCTCCCATGAGTGTAATTATCAAGCACTGGTCAAGACTCAAGAAGAATTTTGATAACAGAAAATTGCATGTCAAATTAGAGAGAAATTAATGAGTTTTGAGTGTGAGGAGTTCGCTAATAGCTAGAGCATGGTGTTATCTATATCCCTTGAGTATTGGGCAAATGTGTGAGCCTGTTGGATTAAAAATAGCTCTTGCTGGCTAGCCTAAGTTTTAAAATGAATTTAATGAAAAGTAATTAAAACTAATTTAATATTGCATAGTAGACTAATCTTATATAAAATTGTTAATTTATAAAAACTAATTTTATGGGATTGGGGTGGAATCAGCATGTCCATATGAATTTTATATCAAAACCTGTCGGACATTAAATGTCAACCAAAAAAAAATCTGTGAGTATTTCATATGTTTTTAAAAAAGTTATGGTAGATAGTGCAGACCCATTCATCTATTGGTATTAATGAGTAAACAAGCATCCAGTTAAAGATTAATTAATGAGTTCAGGCTAGCTGTCTTAATCACTCTGATCAAGCTGTATGATGACCTTAGGGAATTAGACAGAAGAACTGTTTGTTAGTTAATAGCATATGTCATTTGATGGCCAGCCTTTTCTTTTCAAAATTAATTTGGTATAGATTAATTTGTTAAGACTAATTTGATATGGTTTAATATGATGGGCATTTGACAAGGTCTAACACAACCAGCATAGAAATCCATCAATGATGTAATATTTATTATAACTAATGCCTACATCACAGGGGATGGATAAATATTTTTAGGAATGGAAAAATCACAGAAATTTAGAATCAGGGTTGACATGATTGCAAGCTAAACTGTTGAAGAAAATTGTAATTTTTGACGGGCGTATCATGCTGTGGCGCGGCACTTTATGTTAAATTAGTGTTTAGCTCAATTTTAAAGAAACCATGCAAGATGGTGTTATCAACCATAGTGATGAGAGCTATGCAACTGCATCAAATTTTTTTTACCTTGACCACACTTTTCTTAGATTAAGTGTTTAGCTCAGTTTTAAAGAAACCTTACAAGATATTTTTTTCAACCTTCATGTACTGATACATAATGATGAGAGCTATTCAACTGCATCAACAATTTTGACCTTGACCTTTCATTTCACCTTGACCTCACTTTTCTTAAATTAGTGTTTAGCTCAGTTTTAAACATACCATTCAAGATTGTGTTATCAATCTTCACATGTTGATACATACTGATTAGAGCTGTGCAGCTGCATCAACTTTTTTTACCTTGATCTTTCCCTGACCTTGACCACACTTTTCTTAAATTAGTGTTTAGCTCATCCAAGAAATTTTTATCAAACTTCATATACTGATGAGAGCTATTCATTTGCATAAATATTTTTGACCTTGACCTTTCCTTTGACCTTGACCACACTTCTCCCAAGTTAGTGTCAAATTTGCTAATATGTACTGATGTAAGCAATTAAACTACATTAACATTTTTGACCTTGATCTTTCATTTGACCTTGACCTCACTTTTATCAAATTGTGTTTATGTCAGTTTTAAAGAAACCATATTTTTTCAACTTTTTATGCTAATACATACTGATGAGAGCTTTTCAACTGCCATCAAATTCTTGACCTTGGCATTTCCTTCGACCTTGACCTCACTTTGTGAAATAAGTGTCAAACTTCATATGCTGATGCATACTGATGTAAGCAATTCAAGTGCATCACTTTTCAAGAGATGTGATCATCAAATTTCATACAAATTTTCATGTTGCATTACTAATATACCCTCGGCAGGGCATTCATGTCCTATGGACATATTTCTAGTTTATACAAGATACCAGAGGATAGTACATGTATTTCCTACATACTTGTAATCCTACTGGATATCACTTGAATTGCTGATATCACAATCTGGTATTTATTTTTCCAAGGCATTGTGAACAGAGATTAGAAATGACACGATAAATTAAAAATGATTGAATTTTGGAATGCACCAGAGATACTAAATCAGACATTCAAGGAATATGTTGTCAGCATTGAGCAAATTCTTTCATTGGTAAAAGATGGCCTTGTTTGCAAATACTATCTGTTGTATATTATGTCAAATGCCCATTGATGTCTTTGAAACATAATACTGAATTGACAACCTAATTCTCTGTTTACTAATCTTAACAAGTGTGTGTGAAGTTGTGACAGGGGATTGTTACTTCTACATGATACCTGATCCTACCTCTCATTTTCAGAGATCTTTGTTAGTTCTGTTAACATTTTCCTATATGATCTTGACTAAAGGATTCAGCTGACACTGAAATGCACATTTTACAAGTCGTTATTCATAAAATGACTCTGTGATTGGATAAGAAAAACATTAAGGTTTCAAATTTTGCCAAAAGATGTCACTACAGTCAGCCCTCAAACTGAATTTTGCCAGGGGTCCTATAGCAGTGTGTTGACTCCGGACCTCTGGAATTGTGAGGATGGTAAAAAAATGATCAAATCACAGTTAATGTATCTAATGGAGACTGCAGGCCAGGCCCCCCTGTCTGTACTTGTCCAGTGACATACTGTCCACTTCTCTGCAGCAAGGTGTTCCAGATTCTCTTTTTGGTAAAGCGAGGGTTGAGCAGTATTATTGTAATGGGATGGATTAATTAACAGTGCTATAATTGTTATAGCACAATGTAAACAATGACTCGGTGAAAACTGGTATGTGTATGAATAACAACAGAAATGTGACAAAACTGCTAGACCCCCGTCACAAAAGCCAGTGTCACTCGGCACTATATTAAATACTTTCAGGTGATATAATATATCAAACCTTACTCATAAGACATTGTTTAATAACACTGATACAACAAGTGGTGAAACTTCAGAAATTTATTTTTCTCTTAACAACTGGATCCAACTCTCATAACTTAAGTGCACTGGAGCAGGTTTTACAAAAGAACTTAAGACCAAGACCAAAATTTATTTGACTGCTAATAACATTCTTATAATGATTTTTATTCTTTTAAAAGGCATCTATAAAGATCCTTTTATGCTAGCAATTTTAAACAAAATTATTAATTTTGCAAAATTTGACAAGAAATATTTGTCTCTGGTCTTAGTCATAAGTTCTGTAAAACGGGCTCCTGATCCTTTGCCAGGGGTCCAACGGCAATGGGGTGACTCAGGATACCTGGCATTGTGAGGTTGGTTTTTAACCTGTACTGTAGATATTGCACATGTCACACACCCTAGCAAATTAGGCTGAAGTGTGATTTAATGCGCTCTTCAATGTCAGAGTCCTGCAATTTATTAGAAGAAGAATGTTTAAGTTTGTTCAAAAGTGATGGGCATGCAGTGTCCCATATTCTATCTCCTAAGTGGAGACAATTTAATATAAGGCAAAAAAAATGTTGGGGGTAATTTAAAATTCTTCTCAAGAACCAATGGACAAAAATACCAGTACTTGAAATTTACAAGAAAACTTCCCAAAATAGTGAAGATTAAAGATAAGTCAAAACATGACCGCCAATGGTAGGATGAGGCTATTTGATAGCATCAAATTTTGCATGGGTATATACAATGTATATAGGAAGAAATATTTCAAATCTTCTAAAGTACAGAATGAACAAGAAAAGGCATATTTAAATGCAAATATGCAGGCATATTCAGGTATTGCAGATTCAAGTTTTATTCAAATCATGATCCCCGGGTTATTATAGTTTTACATGCCATTGGGAATACATGTATATAAAAATCCTCTCCTCAATAACAGGGCCTTGATTGGTCTTGTTAATATGCAAGCATTCTTATTAATGCAACTGAATAAAGGTTGTTCAATTAATTATGGTAGAATGTGGCCACTATTGGGGATCTCAATTTAATTAAGGACTTCATATTTAAAAAATATTTAAAAATATTCTTCTCAAGAACAACTAGCTGACCACCTTTGACAAGGTTACATATAGAGGATTTAATAAATTTTCTCAAATGCCATTATTCATTCAAACATTTATTATTATTACATTTATTTATTTATTAACATGAAACAAGAAAGTGCATACTAACATGACAGAAGCTATAGCACACTAAAATTTCAAAATTGCTGACGGTTTAATTAAAACTCTAAATTACAACGCCAACTTTACATTTTAACTACTATAATATTTTTTATCTACAACATATCCTCATCCTATCTTAATTATCTCCCCTTGAGAAAGGAAGTGGCCCTTCATTTGAAGAAATCTCAGAAGGAAGCTAATTGTGGCAAGTTTAGTTAAAATTACCCTTTGGTTTTGGAGGCATTGAAAATGTGAAAAAGTTACAGAGTACACACTGATGGAAGAAACGGATTAGGAAGCTAAAAAGCAAATGAAAACAAAAGGATAGTCATTATCATTACAGTTTAATAATTCTTTTAAAAAAGCAAACAAAAAAATAAAACAATATGAAATAAATTAAATATAAAATGATATTGGATGCAGCACTTAATTTAAATGTTTAATGTGTAAAAAATGATATAATTGCACTGGTATCCATAGAAAAACAATAAGAAGCACCAGTATATATGAAACTAGAACTGTCCAAACGGGACAAAATACCCCCCACTGGGTTTTTCAGAAGTGCTAAATCATGAATATTTTATGGATCTAAGAGAAGAGAGAAATGCTAAAACATTTTTAGTGCAAATGTATAACTGCTCATTATATTTTTCTCAAATGAAAAAAAGGCAAAGCCTAATAAAAAAATAGACTAAATATACAGACCAGACACGAATCATGAACTTTTTCTGTCAGTGACCTTGAACTTGCATAAATGACCTTGGTTCAAAGTCATTACACAACCTAAGCAATGTTTTTGTGAAGTAGTAGATTCAAGTTTTTCCATAATATAGAAAGATATGGACCGGACACAAATTATAAAATTTTTCTTCCAGTGACCCTGACCTTCCCAAAATGACCTTGACCCAAGGTCATGACATATTCTTAGTTCATGAGCAATCTTTGTGTGAAATAAAAACTTAGCAAGTTTATCCATAGGAAAGATATGGACCAGACACGAATTATGAAATTTTTCTTCCAGTGACCTTGAACTTCCCCAAATAACCTAGGGTCATGACTCATCCTTAGATCATGATCAATCTTTGTGTGAATGAGAACCTACCAAGTTTATCCATAAGAAAGATATGGACCGGACATAAATTATGAAATTTCTCTTCAAGTGACCTTGAACTTCCCCAAATGACCTTGACCCAAGGTCTTACACATCCTTAGGTCAGGAGGAATCTTTGTGTGAAATGAGAACCTACCAAGTTTATCCATTAGAAAGATATGGACCAGATACAAACTATGAAATTTTTTCTTCCAGTGATCTTGAACTTCCCCAAATGACCTTGGGTCAAGAACAAGACACATCCTTAGGTCAGGAGGAATCTTTGTGTGAAATGAGAACCTACCAAGTTTATCCATAAGAAAGATATGGACTGGACACAAATTATGAAATTTTTCTTCCAGTGACCTTGAACTTCCCCAAATGACCTTGGGTCAAGGTCATGACACACTCTTAGGTCATGTGCAATCTTTGTGTGAAATTAGAACCTACCAAGTTTATCCATAAGAAAGATATGGACCGGACACAAATTATGAAATTTCTCTTCCAGTGACCTTCACCTTCCCCAAATAACCTTGGGTTAAGGTCATGACACACCCTTAGGTCATGAGTAATGTTTGTGTGAAATGAGAACCTACCAAGTTTATCCATAAGAAAGATATGGATCTGACACAAATTATGAAATTTCTCTTCCAGTGACCTTGAACTTCCCCAAATGACGTTGGTCAAGTTCATGACACACTCTTTGGTCATGTGCAATCTTTGTGTGAAATTAGAACCTACCAAGTTTATCCAAGAATGATATGGACTGGACACAAATTATGAAATTTTTCTTCCAGTGACCTTCAACTTCTCCAAATGACCTTGGGTCAAGGTCATGACACACCCTTAGGTCATGTGCAATCTTTCTGTGAAAATAGAACCTACCAAGTTTATCCATAAGAAAGATATGGACCGGACACAAATTACGAATTTTTTTTCTTCCAGTGACCTTGAACTTCCTCAAATGACCTTGGGTCAAGGTCATGACACACTCTTAGGTCATGAGCAATCTTTGTGTGGAGTAGTAGATTCTAATGTTCCTCTGTAAGAAAGATATGGACCGGACACGTTTGCACCGACAGACGGACGGACAGACGGACAAGGTGATTCCTATATACCCCCCAAACTTCGTTTGCGGGGGGTATAATAAATATATTATGATACTGAATCCATCATTTCATTCAAATGATTAACTTGTAAAAATTATATTGCACTCATATACATGATAAATATTGCACAAATCAATACTGCAACAACCTTAAAAACAAAAAATTGACATACATGTAAAAATCAACTTCATGGCACAAACACACACAATTATTTTCTTAAATGAACAAACTGGATGGAAAATTTAATTTAAGGACAACACCCATAATGAAATCATGTTTGCTATGCATTGTAGATTAATGGAAAAATTGCTATATATCCTGAGGAAACTAATGGTATATTTTAAAGTACATACAAAGCTAAAAGCTTCACAAGTTCAGATAAGGAAATACAAAGTTAATCTGATGTACAATATTTGACTTTAGTTACATCAAAATAAATCCAAATACTGGATAAATTGGTCATTTTCACTGGATACAAAATAATCAGCTCAACACTTTAGAGTATTATACTATCAGTGGAATGTGGTTTATTAATATTTATGAGAATGAAAGAATTTTTCTGGTAGACGGCCATGGAATAGAATTGACACAGAATGTGTGTCAAGATAATGGTGAAAGGAGCACATTTCTCCCTCTCATCCCTATATAAATGCAGCTTACAGATTTTGTCTAACTTGAAATACTATTAGTAGGCAAGTCACTAGAAAACAAGGGTTCCATGGGCCACAATGCTCATTGTTGACTGACACTACCCCCTGGGGGGCCATGATTTGAATGAATTAGAATCTACATGGTTCTTGAGACGAAGATTTTTTAATGACTCCACCCTATTTTTATCTTTTATTGATTATCTCCCCTTGAAAAAGGCCTTGGTAATTTTAATATTTAAAAATTCCCTTCACCAGAGGATGCTTTGTATTAACTTTGGTTAAAACTGACAGTGACTCAGTGGTTTTTGAGAAGAAGATGAAATGTTTATAGGCGGACGAAAGATAACAAGAGATCAGAAAAGCTCACTTGAGCTTTCAGCTCAGGTGCGCTTAAAATATAATTTACATGTATAATTAAATTAATCGTGTAAAAATTTATGCACTGTTTTTCTTTTAAAATACCAAAGAATACCTTTTAACTATTTAATAAAATAAGGTTTACTAATCATCAAATTTCGTGATATCAAAATTCATATACATCTATACTGTATGTGTATTTCATATTTTAGGGCCTTGGTGCATACAACAATTCATGAATATCCTTTATAAATCATCAATGATTGCACCATATGTACATTATATTTTCAGTTCATCAATACCATTATCTTAAAAAAATAGAACATACAAAAAGAAATTATCTTCTAACTTAAATTGCACAGTACATGTACATGTACTAGTATGAGGTGTTTTTAGTTAATGGTAATCTAAAAATTCATACATTATAAAATTTCCAATGAAAAGGTACCTTTATAAAGCAAATATTGGCTACTACAAGCTTTCTTTAATTTAACTACAAAAATCAAAGCTGACATTTGGACAAATAGCTTACATTTTATAAAAGTTTATTTCAATACTACACATATGGCTAAAAATAGCAGCCACTTTATCACAGCTTTGTTCAGTAAACTGTGACAAAACCTCCCTGATGTCCTCCAGACAATTCTGCTCTAGTTCTCTCAGGTTCTTCTTAATCATGTGACCTTGTGGCTCATCTCGCTCCAGGAGACTCAGGAGTTTTTTGTGCCCTTTAACAAGTGGATGACTTCGGTCAGTTTGCTCCTGGGGTGTCACTTTCTCTGCATCTTTCTTGCCATAGTCTGGTGATGTTGTTAAAGTCCCTAAAGTAACCAATTTATTTTCTAATGAATACTGTTGTTTCATTAATTTTTCTGGACATTGTAAAGTTCAATTGTGAGGATACCCTAAAATCTTGAAAATAAGACGGATTTAATAATAAGCCGGTTTTGAAAATAAGCCACCTATTTCTTGCATTAAAAATTACTCGAAAATAAGCCAGTTCTGAAAATAAGCCGGTCATGACAATGCCATTTAGGAAAGATGTTAAACGTTTGACGATTGCCTCGTCTTAAAAATTTGATAATTGAAAACTTCGACATTTTTTTTTACTGTGCAAAATAAAACTGAGTTATCTTTCTTTAATTCATTTAACCTTTACCAATTTATGCATACGACACGGTACGAACTAAGTCTGTAGAAACAAATGAACTTATGTAAAATTCCTAATAGAGGGTAGTTTTTAAAGTTTTTTTTTTTTTTTACCAGTAAGCATGTTACGCTGGCTAAAAAAAATTCATTGCGGAACCAGTAACATGGTGAATTTTTTTTCATAAAATTGTCAGAAACAATAATTATCTCATCCAGACCTGAACAAGCTAACAGTGTGTTTAAATTTGTTGTAATTAAATAAGTAAACGGATAAAAGGAAGATTTTGTTTGTAAAGCATTTAACTGTCAGGTAACACTGCCCGAGGCAAGAAACCTGCTAATCGGCAGGGCTTGGTAGTAAGTACATTTCAATGTACCGTATAATTGAGATGGTTAAATATGTGTTTGTTTGACTAATTTATCAAGTGATTCAATTACAAGCGGATATCTTATATTTTATTTTTATTACTTTTCAAAAACCAGAAGTCTCTGTTGAGACTGTAGCTCTACTGGTTTGTACTTATAACAAAGGATGAGAAAAGAAGCCATTGCCATCAGACCAAAACTGTAGGAGTAGCATTATAAGGAATTTCAGACATTTCTATTTTTAGTAACAATGGCAACACCGTTCATTGAAATCAAAAACTGATGCATTATTTTATGTATTTTAGTGTAGTCTACTTGTGTTCTAAGTTATATTGAAATCAGACCAAAACTGTAGGAGGAGTAGCATTTTAAAGGAATTTCACAGAAAAATCTATTTTTAGTATTCATTACAACACCGTTCATCGAAATCAAAACCGATGCACTATTCTATGTATTTTAGTGTAGTCTACTTGTGTGCTAAGTTATATTGAAATCTGATCAAAACTGTAGGAAGAGTAACATTTTAAGGGAATTTCACAGAAAATTCTATTTTTAGTAACCATGGCAACACCGTTCATCGAAATCAAAACCGATGCACTATTTTATGTATCTTAATGTAGTGTACTTGTGTGCCAAGTTGTACTGAAATAAGATCAAAACTGTAGGAGGAGTAGCATTTAAAAGGAATTTCAAAGAATATTTTATTTTTAGTAACCATGGCAACACTGTTCATCGAAATCAAAAACCGATGCACTATTTTATGCATCTTAGTGTAGTCTACTTGTGTGCCAAGTTATATTGAAATCAAACCAAAACTGTAGGAGGAGTAGCAATTGAAAGGAATTTCACAGAAAATTCTATTTTTAATAACAATGGCAACACCGTTCATCGAAATCAAAAACCGATGCTCTATTTTATGTATCTTAGTGTAGTCTACTTGTGTGCCAAGTTATATTGAAATCAGATCAAAACTGTAGAAGGAGTAGCGTTTTAAAGGAATTTCACAGAAAATTCTATTTTTAGTAACCACGGCAACATCGTTCATTCAAATCAAAAATCTATGCACTATATTATGTATCTTAGTGTAGTCTACTTGTGTACCAAATTATATTGAAATCAAACCAAAACTGTAGGAGGAGTAGCAATTGAAAAGAATTTCACAGAAAATTCTATTTTTAGTAACCATGGCAACACCGTTCATCGAAATCAAAAACCGATGCTCTATTTTATGTATCTTAGTGTAGTCTACGTGTATGCCAAGTTATATTGAAATCAGACCAAAACTGTAGGAGGAGTAGCGTTTTGAAAAATTGTTTACAGAAATTATCAGACGGACAGACAGACAGACAGACGGACGGATCGCACTATTTTATGTATCGTGTGCCAACTCATTTTGACATCAAACTAGAACTGTAGAAGGAGTAGCGTTTTAAAGGAATTTCACAGAAAATTCTATTTTTAGCATTACTATCGCATAAGCTCTTATGTATCTGGTCTCTGTGTGCCAGTAGAGCCATGGCAACACCGTTCATCGAAATTAAAAACCGATAACAAGTTTATATTTCATGTAAATTTATAAGCTGTTAACAATGAAATTATCTTTTCGGGATCGACATTCTCAAGATATAAAGTAGACGATTACACCTAAAGAAAACGTACACTGGGGAATGCTAATGAGTAAAAAAAATGACGAGAGAAAACTTTGACGAGCTAAAGTCATTCGTTAATGTTTCCTCCTTGTCAAACTTTCCACTTTTAAGGATTTTTTTCTACACGCAAGATACTAAACAAAGTATTATTGTAATTATCTTATTTTATAATATTCATGATGGTTTAATTTTACATCGAACAAGTACTTCCTATTCTATCGATTACACTTTATTCAATGATTGTATTGAAAATAAACCGAAATTGTGCTCTCTTCTCTTACCAGTTTTTTTGCATTGATAATAAGCCGGAATTTGAAAATAAGCCGGTTTTGAAAATAAGCCCCAACTTTCTTACCAAAACTTAAAATAAGCCGCGGCTTATTTTCAAGATTTTAGGGTATGTAAATTCATGGATAAAACGTAAATTGTTAAATAAGGTCTGAAGCTTCAAAAGTTTACAATGCCATATCCTACATGTACTATATTTAATCTCTGAAGTATTTATAACGACAATAGTATTTGTGCATTACATTTCCAATGTATCTTTTTCATAATTCAAAACAGTAAACCTAGATGAGCAAAACTGCCTTGAAAAAATATTTCCTAGTGTAGAGGTTTTTAATTTCCTACCAGTTTGGTTGTTAGGGCAGAAGATGAAGGGTTTGAAAAAGCTGGCTTCAGGATTGGGAGTGGCTGTCAGCCAGTGGCATGCTGGCACATCAGGGGATATAACTGATATCATACTTCCTGTTGTCATAAATGGTCCTGACATGCAGATATTACTCTCCTGATCACGTAATTTCGCCATCATCTCAACCAATCCAAAGTCCTCTGCAATCATATTTATCAACATCCTAAATAGTAAGTACGCATACATTTAAAATAATATGGAACAAATTAACAAAAATATTATTATTAGTTTGTTATTTTCTTGGACTTTTTCTTTCATAAATCAGCATTAATGAAAAAGAAATTCCAGACTTACACTCTCTTACTTGCATTAATACTGTAACAATACTAGTGTATTAGAAAGCAGATAAAAGACAGAGAGGTCTACCATAGGATACAGTGTACAACAAATGAAGAAGGTGATATATTGAACAATAACTTTTAAAATGACATATAGTATACTGTCCGTGTACATAAACTGGCTTTATAAAACAATCCTGCATAGATGCTGTAGATAAATGTTTTACTTTTAGCTGTGAATTTTTCCAGTAGCTCTCGTCCTTTATCCCTGCGATCTGCAGTGTCCCCCTCACTCCTCCTTGGATCTGAGAAAACAGCAGCAAAGTTGAAAGGTCCACTATCAGTTATGTATAAACCTTCCTGTATAGACCTCTCTACCAAGTCCTCTGAACTCATATCAAAATCACAACCAATAGTTGGCGTGGTTGAGATGTTATAGAATCCATCTACAAAATAAAAAAAATTAAAAAAAACTAACATGAGTTGCCATAAAAGATCTTTGTACATAGTAGCTTATACAGGTTAAACAGGGAAGATTTCCTCAGCAAATTTGATTTGAAAATATTTTTTCTGACAATGTAAAAGATTTAACTAATTCTATTAAGAGCTTTCTTAAGACTAGCTTTATTGGTGTGTACTTGATGTATCGCAGATGGAGGGACAGAGTAACACAATTGTGAGTTTTAGATGGGACATCGGTTACTTTTCATATATAAATCATTGGTTTGAATCGGTTACTGCTTAGTGCTTATGATGTGATTTTACCAATTACATATGTAATCAGATGTCATATTATGTATATAACTAGAAGTCTCTGATGAGACTGTAGCTCTACTGGTCTGTATGTATATGTATAACAAAAGAAAAGTAGCACTTGGATTTGAAACTTTACAACAAGCATAATTAGAATTATGTACCTTTATGTAGTCTACTTGTGTGTCAAGTTATATTGAAATCAAACCAAAACTGTAGGAGGAGTAGGGTTTTGAAAATATTTCTGTGAAGTTTCTATTTTTAGTAGCCATGGCAACCACATTCACCTCAACAAAACCATTTTGTCATGATTTATCTAAACCAATTTCATGAATGATGATGGGTAGCAGCATTTATTTAATATATTAAGTGATGTGTACTATGTCAGTAAATCACATTTTGCTATATGAAAAATATCTTGATTCTAGCATGGAAATGACAATTATATGAATTAGGCCTTTCAACTAATTTTTCAAGCTGCACATATGGTAACAAGAGGCCCAGGGGCCACATCGCTCACCTGAGCAATTGGCTAGGAAAAAGCACACATCAGATCAGAACTGAAAGTTTACTGGGGGGGGGGGGGGGGGGCTTGAATTTTAACACCCCAGGGGGTCATGATTTGAACAAACTTAAATCTACACTACCTGAGGACGATTCCCTATAAATATCACTAAGCATGGCTTTAAAGTACTTGAAAAGAAGATTTTAAAAGGTTCCCCTAGATATTCCTATGTAAAACTTTTATCCGAACAAAACAAACTTGAATCTACACTACCTGGGGATGATTCCACAGGAGTTTCATCTTTCCTGCCTCAATGGCTATTAAGGAGATTTTTCCTATATAATCCTATGTAAAACTTTGATCGGCCATTTTGGCCCAACCCTACCCCCAGTGGTCATGATTTGAACAAACATGAATCTACACTACCTGAGGATGATTCCATATGAGTTTCATTTTTCATGGCCCAGTGGTTCTTGAAAAGATTTTTCCTATATATTCCTATGTAAACTAAGCATGGCTTTAAAGTCTACACTACCTGAAAAGAAGATTTTCCTGGCCCAGTGGTTCTTGAGAAGGAGATTTTTAAAGATTTTTCCTATATATTCCTATGTAAAACTATTCCTATGTAAAACTTTTATTGGCCATTTGGCCCCATATATTCCTATGTAAACTACCACCAGGGGTTTTGATTTGAACAAACTTGATTCCATATGAGTTTCTACACTATATATTCCTATGTAAAACTTTGGGATGATTCCACAGGAGTTCCACATGAGTTTCATCTTTCCTGCCTCAATGGCTATTAAGGAGATTTTTCCTATATAATCTTATGTAAAACTCACTTGAGCCTTTGGCTCAGGTGAGCTAAAAAACATTCTATAGATAGATTTATAGGTACATGAAATTATCATAATAACTTATGCATACTTTTAATTACATCATAAAAAGGTTTAATCATTTTTAATTGACTTTTCCGATGTTGTGTTTAAGGACAGGTAACTCAGGTGTGAAAAATGACCAACTTAGTGCCGATTTATGACTTATCATTTATAGGAATGACATATAGGCTGCTTTGGTATTGTTATATACACAAAAGGGTTCCTTACATTGTTTTGTACACAAAAAGTTTGAATGCCTTCACACTAAATAACCAAATGAGGATATATTCAATAGATCTCTTTGACATTATTATGAAGAAGAAAATTCATTTTTTTGTGTTCAAATATATATATTTTTACAAGGCCCAATTGTGGTTATTTGTGTTACTAAGCACGAAGGGGAACGACCGAGTATAAAAATTTAATTAGGTTAGAAGCAATTTTATTTTTTAATTATATGATTTTTCATTGGTGCTATATATTCCTGCGATGTAAAAACTGCCTTGCGTGCAAACAGTTACACACCCCGGCCTGCTCTAAACAAGTTTCAGCAGTGTGTTATCGTTCATAACACCGACCCCTAGCGGCAGTTGAAAGGCCTATATGAATTTCCTTCACTACAATAAACATATTCAAATTCAAGACCTTATTAATTGTTAAGTTTGTATTTGTTATGAGAAGATACATATTATCAAATCATGTTGCATTTTTCTTTGTCATTTTTTCATAATTGACCTGAGTAAACATAATTAAGAGATAAGACTAAGACCTCTGATCACTTTGGCCACCCAATATTTTCCTGCTGTTTCCAAGATCCACCCCTCTGTTTTATCTGCAATCAGGAAGCTATTATGATGTCCCCATTTCTGTGTCTCCTCACACCCTGCTCCTCCCTGGCCATACTGAGACAGGAGTTTAGTGATTACCAATACTGCATCCTGGGCTGTATTAGCTCTCTCTAATGCAAGCCTAAAGAAACCAGTATTTATTATATGTTAACTTCAATTACTATTAGTAACGCATAAAAAAATTATTACAGTAAGAAAAACAGTAAGTAAAAACATGGTTATGACAAACAGACATAATAAATTCAAACTTTCAAGGAAGTGATTCTCATCCCATGTAAATCTAAATCATAAACTTTTATATTCATATCTAGTGAATAATATTTTTAAAAAAATCAAAGTAGTTGTCCCTGTCACATTGCTTTAAGCATTTTTAGTTACCTTGAGTGAAGGATAAACTTCCAACATTTTTCCTTTAGAAATTTAAAAGTTATCAACTGGTCATAAATTATTTATTTTAGTTAGTAATCTTTGACTTGCTCTAATGATGTAGGTTCAAAGCCTTGTCATACTTTTAATGAGAAATTCAAAAGAGGCCTATGGACCACGATCCTCACTTATTTTGGCCCGATCCACTTTGATTCCACTTTTCACTTAGCTGTTTGCATATTGATATCATAAATCATGGCTCTGTTTTTTATGCTTTAAACTTTATCCAATCTACTGAACCTAATGTTTTTGTTTGGAATAATTAAGGGAAATGTTTGTAAAATGCTTTTATGCCGGGCGCACCCCTCCCCTCCAAATAATTGGAATCTTTTTCAAAGTCCAAGGGGCATAACTCTGTCAAAAAGGGCCCGATTGTACCCAAAACAGATCTTGACCTAGATATGCTTATGATTAATCTGTAAACCAAATTTCATTTGAATAGGTGCAACCTCTGTGAAGAAAATGAACAGAAACTGCAAATAATTGGAATTTTTCTAAGTCCAAGGGGCATAACTCTGACAAAAAAGTCTAGATTGTACCCAAAACAGAACTTGACATAGATATTCTTATGATAAATCTGTATACCAAATTTCGTTTCAATATGTGCAAGCACTGCAAAGAAAATGAACAGAAATCAATGAAAGACCGACAGACCAACCGATCAACTGATGGACACCAGCAAAGCAATATGCCTTCCCTTCTTCAAAAGAGGCATAATAAAACCTTAAATTTACTATACAAGAGATCAAAAATATACAATAAATTGAGCTAGAAAAAAACCCACATACCATGATTCTATATATCCCCCTCCAAAAAAAATTAGATAAAATACAAACAGGTCAGTCACTCTTTTTTTTTTTTTAATTTAAGAAGTTGCCCTTACATTAAAGATGACACTCTCACCTTGCCAGGTCCTGACCAAGTAATCGCTCCTCAAGGTCACCTGGCCCATTCACTTTAGTCCAGATGGGAGCCATAGCAACAGACACTCCTTGGTTGTTGGAGCCCATTTCTGCCCCCCACATCCACGCAGGCTTACTGAGGATTACAGCATTTGTCCTCTCCACCTCATCTACCTCAATGTATGTGCACTGTTTAAAAAAAAGAAACAATCAATTAAATAATGAAAGTAAGTCAAAAACATACAAGTGCTCATTTTTTATGGGTGGTCACTCATGGACCAGGTCTGAGGTCCTTATTTCATCATGTTGACCTTCCCTGTCATTTTTACAATTAATTTGTCTATTACAGACTATTTGTAAATATTAAACTAACACTATCACCATTAAACAACAATCTTTTGCATTGTAAACGTTTACATAGTACAATAAATACTGTACTCCATATTTATCCAATGTATTTGATTTCAAAATAAATATCGTATATTAAGCAGAATTTTTAGTGAGGATTTAATTTCGGCATTATTAGCGAGGGCACCGAAATCGCTAAAATTGAATATCGCTGAAAAATAATTGTTATATTTGTAATAGATTCTTAAGGGAACATTTTAAAATCGCTAAAATTACATCTCACTAAAAATAAAATACCAGTTTTTGAGGACAAATCGCTAAATTTGCGTCTCGCTAAAATTTCCACTTATACGGTATACTGAAAGGAAAATGAAATGCAGGGTAACTTATAATATGCAAATTTTTTTTGACCACATGACCAAAAAATACAAAAACTGGTCAGATGAGAATCTTGGTTACTATGCACTATATCTGTGCTCAGAATTGCTCAACCATTAAATGTATGATGTCACGTAGGAAAAGTGCTTAAAAGCCAAAAACAAGTGCAACTTCATGACGACAAGTTTGTCAACGATCTTCTTTTACCATTTGATGCACTAGAGGTATACCGGTATACACATTGATTTTCAGTATTCGTAGACGAAATGCATTTCTTTCAATCTTGTAACAGTTGACGAAAGTTCCATGGGGTCTGGCTTTTATGTTGCCTTACAAAGGCAACAACGGGTTGCTGTGCAGTTTCTTGTAAATTTTGCTCTATAGAACGTGTTACTAGTTGTCAGAGGGCCTGGAATGGTTTCCAACCAACCGTGTTACCGTGACGATGACATTAACATGAAACAGAGTCACGATTCGATCCGGTTATTCATCCTGCCACCAGTTCAATCGCCACTTACTACCACAAAACCACTATTAATTAATATAGTAGACTAACCTAATCATTATATTCATCCCAAAACTGAAAAAAAAAACAATTGCACAATTTGGTTTTCTGAGTCGGTCAACTTTTACAATTGTGTTCCTCTAACTGGTGCATGCGCGTTTCATTTGTGGGCCCACCCTGCCCTTGGGGGATTATGATTAAACTAATTAGAATCTACACTACCCCAGGATGCTTACACATAAGTTTCAGCTTTTCTGGCCCTGTGGTCCTTCAGACGAAGATTAAAAAAACAATTTTTTCCTATATTTTACTATGAAAAACTTGGATTCCCTATTGTGGCCCCACCCTAACTTCAGGGGTCATGATTTGTGTAATTTGAATTGAAATCTACAATACCCCAAGATGCTCCCATATAAGTTTCAGCCTTTTTGGTCTAGGGGTTCTTGAGAAGAAGATTTTTTTAATGACCCCACCCAATTTATCTTTTCTTGATTCTATCCTTCTAAACAACAGGCGCTTGACGTTTTTATCCTTTCTTTTCATAAATAAAAATATCCCTATATCTAAACTACAGGCACTTGATGTTTGTAACCTTTCTTTTCAGAAATAAAAATATATCCCCTATACCTGTATACTATAATAATAATTATAGTATGGGGGGATATTTTCATCTATGAAAAGAAAGGTTAAGAACATCAAGTGCCTGTGTTCTAAACAGTACATTTACATGTGTGTGACCTCTACACATTTTTCCTGAACTTTTGCAGCATATGTGTTTATTTTAGCTGGCCTGTAAATCATGTCTGTATTAACATTTATACATTTTTCCTGAACTTTTGTAGCATTTGTGTTTATTTTAGCTGGCCTGTAGATCATGTCTGTATTAACCTTTACAAATTTTTCCTGAACTTTTGTAGCATATGTGTTTATTTCAGCTGGCCTGTAAATCATGTCTGTATTGACCTTTACACATTTTACCTGAACTTTTGCAGCATTTGTGTTTATTTTAGCTGGCCTGTAAATCATGTCTGTATTGACCTTTACACATTTTACCTGAACTTTCGCAGCATTTGTGTTTATTTTAGCTGGCCTGTAAATCACTTCTGTATTGACCTTTACACATTTTACCTGAACTTTTGCGGCATTTGTGTTTCTTTTAGCTGGCCTGTAAATCACTTCCTGTGCTTCTGTAGCTGGTCTCTGAGAATTTTTCCCCAGAATGACAGCTTTGTCCCTTGTCACTGGTGGTAGGACCAAAAAACAATCAGCCATAATCTCTTCAAAAAAAGAAGAAAAAAGAATAATTAAGCAATAAGATATCATTTTTTGAGTTTCATTGGGATGTGACATGAAGTTGGTCACGTGATCAAATTCTATAACGCCCAAAGGGCAAGAAAATCGGATCATGTGGCCAACAGCATGTCATTGATATCATTGTTAAATAAGGAAAGACATCAGTAAATGCCCCCCCCCCCAAGTTTGATTACTGGTCCAGCCATACATTTTCTCCTTTCCTGTTACAGATTTGGTGCTGTTGACCACCCCTAGAATTGCAAGGGAAAGTCCTGCCAGGGGCAATAAGAACTTGGGTTAATTGTGTCTTCGAGGAATGGTTTGGGCCGTAGATATCCGTGTCTGGATAGCTCAGTTGGTAGAGCACCTGACTAGAGATGCAGGGGTCCCAGGTTCGATTCCCGGTCCAGCCATACATTTTCACCTTTCCTGTTACAGATTCATCACCTATGCTTCATACTAATTAGGTGACTAGTATCAGATTCAGAAACCATTTTCTTTCATTAAGAACAAACAAATTTTAATCCAGAAATGGATAATTCCAGATTTTATTTCATTAGATGTTTCCAATGATCAATTATGAAAAATTGTAATTCATCATCATAATCAGTAGCATTTTTTTGGTTGTCACAATTGATGTTTGTCATTCATGGAAATTAAAAACTGATATATAGAATTATGTTTATTAATGTATGCTGTGTGTTAGTCAAGTTATATTGAAAATTTGAAATCATACCAAAACTTATTAAGGAGGAGAAACATTTTGAAAGTGCACAGAAATTTCTATTTTTAAAAACCATGCATGGCAATACCATCAAAATCAAAAACAAATTGAGAATTATATGTCTTAGCATATTCTACGTTTATGCAAAGTAAAATTGAAATCAGACCAACACTGGAGGAGGAGCAGCATTTTGAAAAATTGTTAAAACAGTACAGTACCTCGCCCGAATTAACTCAGTATTTCGACTGGGTCTAGCAAATAAAAACAAAGAATAAATGAAAATTATAGGCAAATACACATATATTTTTAAAAAATCAATGAATACCAATATATGGTTGATAATTCTGCTTCAAGTTTAAGCAGGAGGAAACTCAGTGTTTCAACAACAAAAATGAATGATAGATCGAGTTCCGAATTTTTAACGGAAGTTGATCTACAGTCTAGCCAGAAACAAGTTATGTTATCCGGACATAAAAACTACTATATCTTTACTAATTGAACTAAATTGCATTATAAATATAATAGATTAAATAAGAAAGCAATTATAACATGTTACTCATCGGCTGGCATGGTGTATTATTATTATCATTAGTATTTTTTTTTTTTACAAAAACTTTAATCGGATAACGTGAATCTGCAGTGAATATTCGTTCTTTTACTTATTTGTCGTCCATCGGTTTCAGGTACCTTTCTAACTGTTAGCGAATTAAATCCGTCGTCATCGATGTAGAAAAGAACTAAAAAATAAAAAATAGTTAACACAGATATTTTGTCATATCTGAAATCTATAAATTTTCTTTTGAAGATTCTGTTCATCAACGTAAATTAAGAGATTAGGCGATGTTATTCACCACGTTGAAAGCTAATGTTTACAAAATAACGAGTAAAAGTAAATTAAAGTGAGGGAGAGGGGGGCTAAAATTTAACTTTATATCTGTTAGTTCTCTCTGATTTTTTGTACATTTTTTGTTCTTTCTTGGAATTCTCTTTGCTGAAAATGGTGTAGAGTTCCGAATTTGTTCAGAATTTTTTACCTGTCTGCATTCAGGTCCAACACATTCTTATTTAAGTTAAGAACTTGCCCCTATTTAACACTCCCTTAATGAGTTGCTGGTGCAACCGTTAGAGCGAGCGCAGATACTAACTCACTTTAAACTGTTTTATTTAGATTGTGCTCGTCGAACTGCACAACTGTGAACATTTAGTGCATCAAAACTCTGATGTCACAATATGTCGTATTTAGGTGCATTACCAAACTAAAGAATAAAAGTCTGAACATAGCAGACTTTAAAAATGAAAAACAATTCATTTACTATTTATCTTCAATATACCCATTATATGAAGGTGTCGCAAGTTTTTGATGTTATTCTCTCAATAACAGGGATTCACATACGACACTGTATATATAGAAAGAAACTTGAAATGGTTCAGAGAAGGGCCGCTTGCTATGTACAGAACAATTTCCATAATACTTGTAGCGTTACAGACATGTTTAGTACACTACAGTGGCCAACACTAGATGAGAGGCACCTCAAAACCATGCAGGTTTATAATATTTTACAGGGTAGTTCACCAACTTGTCACCATAACAACAGATATACTCATACCTACAGATGCAAGAACCAGACAAAATCACTCACAAACATATAAACACTTACAAGCATCAAAAGAAACATACAAATGGTCATTTTTTCCACAAACTATAATACAGAGGAATGTACTTCCCCTGCCTGTTGTCCAAGCCAACTAAAGTAGACATTTTTAGAGAACAGCTAACCCCAGCTGTTCTCAACACTATCATGTAAAAAGTAACATTCAAATTTTTCTTTTAATCACTATAATGTAAATAAAAGTACAATTTTTCTTTATATTGAGTTTCTTTTTATATAAGCTTAGGTCATGCATGTGCACCAAGTAGTCTTCAGCGCTCTGAAGTTTTGTTGTAAAATAGAGGAAGAAGCTGAATATAGCAATGCCCAACAAGGGGGAGATAACTTTCCAAATTTCCTCAGCCTTGTTTTGATTCTGTATCAGAAAAGAGCTTGTAAAGTACTGCTTCATAAACTACTTTCCCTTGCCTTTTCAAATGTTTTGATGCCCTGTCTATGAACTTTGAGATGCCTCCTAGAAATACCAACTCGGAATGTTTGAAGTATGGTGTGATTAGATGGTTTAAAAATAGATTGAAAAATTAAAACATCTCTAAATTTCATATACGGACGAGTAATTTGTCAAAACATGCATTAATTAAAAGCTTCCTCTGATATTCCACTACAAAAGCAGATCACATGTAGGCAAGTGTTCAACCTGTTACCTTTCTTGTTTGCCACACAAATTTTCCAAGGCACACTGTAGCCAACATCAGCTCGTTCAAATCCAATTTGGCAGCCAACATGTGTGTAAAAAAAAAATGTAAACAATGTAAATCGAACCTCTGACGGTTTGTTTACTTTATGTCAAACTTTGTCAAGGTGATACAACTTTATACTCTTGTTTTTGAGCTGTGTTCTTAAACAACTGAAGTATTTTATATATTAAAATTCGAACATGAGCTATTTCATGTGGAAATGAAAATAGGGTTCATTTCAAAGTTAACAAAAATAGATTTCCAGATCAATTTACTTTGATGAAGAAAACAGTGAAAGTCAAATGAAAAATTAATTTATAATCATAATTTAACTTTTATTGATAAATTCATTAACTTTTATTGATAAGTTCATTATTGGAAATCACAACACAGCATATGCATACAGAGTTCCCGAAACGCACCGGTCCACCGGGGATCCCCGGTAAACTTTGAATGGGACCGGTAAAATCTTAATTTTATCGGTCAAAATGTCCGATGGTTTTTTTTTTACAGACTGTATAACGTTTACATAATCTAACAAAATCATTTAATTCAATTGTCCTGACAATAAACAAATGCAAAACTAAAGGAATGAAAAAAACGTCAGGGGCGCGCCAGATCTTGTTTAAATATAAAATGTAGACGGTGATTGTCTAATATAAAAAGCTACATATAAAATAATAATTTCCATAAGTCTGGGAGGAAAAACAGTTTTAAAAACACTGTCAAACAAATATTTTCCCTCTGATAAATATATGCACTCTGTAGTTCTGACAGTAAAAAAATGTGACAATCTACTTTCGTTTTGAAGGACGAATTTGCAGGGTTGCAAGAGTTGCCTGCTATTTCTGCTTGATTACAGACAATTTGTTACCATTTATTATTTTCTCTATAATTTAATCTATTAGCATGATAATATTATACCAACTTCTGGACTTTTTTTAATGTATTTGATAGCATTTAAAATACATGCGCGTTTTCCCCCTTTTCTAAAAATAGCGGACTGACTTTTATGTAATAAAACGACAACAAATTCACTTAAAATCATCATTTTCATGATAAATTTGCATATCTTTATATCATTAGTACATATTTTTAACTGTGTGGAGGTTGTATAATAAATTTTAACTAGTCAGAAATATCGGACGTTTTCCAGGCTTTTTAAAACGAGTTTGATATTTTACGTAATATTTTTCCTGGCACATAAAATACCAAAATCCAAAATCCAAAAGAAAAAAGCCTGGAAAACAACATATATTTCCCACTAATTCCAAACAATCAACCAAGAGTTGTCATGTTGCAGATTTTATTTTAAAAAAAATATAAAAAATCTGTCAGAAAGGACATAATAATTTTATACGATGAATTAAGCGTTGGTCATCACATGCCGTCGGCGACGTCAAATCCTGCATACACAGGCCTTATAAAAAATATTTTAATAATTTTTTTTAAAAAAATCTGCATTTGCCATCTTTTTATTTACACATATTATTTATTATATCGTTACAATTTCCAATCCTATAATATGTTAAATTTACATACAAAAAATTAATGTCCGGTAAATTTTACAACTGTCCGGTGAATTTTGAATATTTACAGGACAATTGTCCGACATATTTTTGACTAGTTTCGGGAACTCTGTGCATAATGACATATAAGCTAATTATACCCCCCGCAAACGAAGTTTAGGGGGAGTATATTGGAATCACCATGTCCGTCTGTCCGTCTGTCTGTCTGTCTGTAGACGAGATTTTGTCCGGACCATTACTCAGAAACTATTGGAAGGATTTGTCTGAAAATTTGTACACATATTATTCACCATATGAAGTTGTGCACCTGATATTTTCATCTTGATTGGATTATTATTTTGAATATTACAGGTGTTTTTTCATTTTTATTTTGTGGTTTTGTCTGGACCGTTTCTCAGAAACTATTGCAAGGATTAATCTGAAAATTTGTACACTTATTATTCACCATATGAAGGTGTGCACCTGGAATTTTCAACTCTTTTTGTTAATTTTTTTTGCATTTTACAGGTTTTATTTTTTATTTTAATTGACTTGTTCATTTTGGGTTCATGTATAAGGTTTGAGATATAGAATCTAGAATATCTGTTCAAAAATACTACAGCTTAAAACTACTCATAAAAACTTAAAAAAAGAAACATCATAAAGTGTTAAAAACAGTTTTTACATTGCACAGAAGATAATGTAATTTCATTTGTCTCTTGGGAATAATGACTAGACATGCATCCAGTTAAAGATAAATTAATGAGTTTGGTGTTGGAAGTTGTTCAGGCATATCTCTTATCAAGTGTGTGTGTTATCTATCTCCAGGGAATAAGGCACAAGAATTAAACTGTCAAAGCACTTCATCACTGGATGACCAGCTCTTTATTTTCAAAATGCATTTCAAATTGATATATCAAGATTAATTTGATTTTGTATAATGCTTTTTTTCAACAATCAGTTTGCAGAGTGACATAACACATAATTGCAATATATTTTTTTAATGCAATAATAAAAAAAAATAAAATGAAAAAATTAAAACAAAATGTTACAATGGAATTACAATGTATTAGTTTTGATGTTTCATTTGGTTGCACCTTTGTTTCATTCATTAAGAAACATGATGAGCAATTGTATTTAATTTTTTTAATTTTTGTAAGTAAATTGTTAACACGTTTAGATCCTTAAAGTATTTTTGAATTGGCACCTTCTCTGAAAAACCCAGCGGGGGGTATTTGTCCCTAATGGACAGTTCTTGTTAATATATAATAATAACGAAATCAGAGGAAGACAAGTCTTGCTTTTTACATCTCGTCAATATAGTCCTCTGTGTTTCAACAATGGCCGGGAATATTATGAAATTGCAGATAAAAATCTCTAACTGGTACCCACATTAAATTCTGTTAATATTTTGATCTCTTTTCCTGTATTTAAGGCCTAGAAAAAAAATATGCTTGTTTCCGCTTTCAGGCTGAAAAAAATATAGGGTAGGTAGGTAGGCAATTTTTTTTTTTTTTGAAAAAAATTTTTTTGCTTCTTTAATCAAAACGTGTATAGAAGTAACATTAATGACAAAAGAAATGGTGTTTTCAAGCATTACTGTGACTTAACTTATAATAGAAAGGTGACCCAAACTTCTTTCTGTCTTGAAAAGCTTGCAAAGTTGGAGGCTATAATTCCCTGGTTGAAATCTTGCACATCATGGGACAAAAGCATTAAAAAAATATTTAGGGTCGGCACTATAAATTAGGGTCGGTCGGGAAAGCGGAAACAAACATATTTTTTTTCTAGGCCTTATCTGCTTTTTATTTGCCAATACACTTTCTAATCATTTTCCGTGGAAAGATAGCTAACTCTGTGTAAACTCTGCATTTTTAAAACATAAAAAACTCTGATTTTTGTTCTCTTAAAAAACTTAATTTTTTTGGAACATTAATATCTCCCCCGTCTTTTGAATTTAAAAAATAATTTCTGAAATTTGGATTATTTGTAGTAAAATGAGAATCAAATAAAAGGAACTACAAATGATTTTACTGAAGGTTAACTTCAGATCTTATTTGAAATCATTAAAACAATCTCTTTTTAAATATTAAAGATGTTGATCATGGAATATTGGGAACATGTATATTCATTTATTTAATTTTTTTTTTTTTACAAAAAAACCCAACTAATTTACTTTGATTTAGATTCATAATCTTGTAAACTATATTATATTAATTATCAAGACGAAGTCACAGATTATCCTTACTTCTTTTAGTGAAACCCTACAATGTTGCCTATTTCCTTTTATTAGCATTACCTTATATCTACCAATAGCGGTCAAAGTAAAATGTCAACATCAAAGCATGTATCTGGGACCTATAACCATGTTAACAAGCTATTTGTCTGGTTATATCGATATTTTCATTGTTTCATACACTTATCACAAAAAGTTTAGCATGTGTCTGGGTTTGGGAAATAAAATTCAAGTTAAAAAGAACATACATAGTCTTTGTGTGCAATTTCTATAATTTTTGTCCAGTTTCATTATATTAATTCCTAATACTTTTGAATTGGAAGAAAAATATTACCAATGGGAAAAAATAGCGAAGTTATGTCATTGAAACAGCTGATATTTGGTGGTTATTTTTATTTCCATTAAAATCACAGAAGATTACATTTTTAACAGGGCTCTTTGGGGAAAAGAAACATTGCATCTCCCATTGTTTGCTCTTCTTTCATTCTCTGCAAAAAGTTTTTGGACATCGTGCTATCTCCAAGACATTTTAACTGCACTTTAAAATAAAGACATGCTTGCCGCCATGTTTACACATTTCTGTTTATGGTCACTGAAACGTTTGAAAGAATGACACGTTTTATTACATGTTACTCAGATGCATTATTAATATTAAAACCCTGATGATCTGTTTTCCGGAAAATTATCGAAGTGGTGATGAAATCCATTTTTTATTTTCCTGGGTCTTATTAAAAACTGATTGACTTTGTATATCAGCCTGATAACTCAGTGGTTAGAGCACCTGACTATATAGTAATGCAGGGGTCCCGGGTTCAATTCTTGGTCCAGCCATATGTTTTCTTCATGCAATTCTTTTCTCCTATTATGCATGCTTTGCGCTTCTAGCTGCGCTCACTATAATAAATTAACACACACAGTAGATGTTCCTACGGATAGCGACAATTTAAACTCTCTTATAATAAATTCACACACAATGGAAAGGAATGATAAAGAATTAAGTTTCATAAAAAGAAAATATTGATAACATTCATTACTTACCTATATTATATACACTGATATATTTGTTTATTGTTGATTGAATAGCCAAATTAAGATATTGTGGTGGACCTGGTGATTTTCAAGCAAATCATTCAATTAAGCAAATAAATATTCTTGATGCTATTTTTCAAAAAACCTCAGATCTGATTTCTGTAAAATTATGACTTAATATTAAATATATAATTTATATTGTAAAGGTTATGGTTATGGTATACAAATGTAAAGGTTTAAAATTAGCAAATTTGTATTTTTTTTAGCCATGGGCAAATTTATGAAACCAGGCAAAGTTGTGCTTGTATTGAGTGGACGATTTGCTGGGAGAAAGGCAGTTATTGTCAAGGTTAGTTATTAACGTTAAAGCAATATGAGATGCATTTTTGAAAATTTTATTTTGCTGTTAAAATGTGTTATTATGATAAATTTGTATGTAAATTAAAACTTTATGATCAGTTGGGCTAATATAAAGCAGAAGAAAGACTCTATACACAATTCAATATACAGTTTAATTTATATAAGGCCATCCTTAAAAAAATTTCTTTTTGCGGTAACGCGCCTCATCATTTTAAGTGTGGGTAGGTAGGTAGGCTTAATATAAATTTCGCAGAAGTTACTAATCAAACAAGAAAATTAAGGCATTCTTAATGAATCCAATCTTTTATAATTGTAACAGTTCAAATACACACATTCTTTTTTAATATACAGTTTAATTTATATAAGAAATCATTATTTTACAGGACAACAATAGTGTAATTTTGATTCAATCTGAGGTTTATAAATAGTTCTCCCATCGCAAATATGGACAACAGACTGAAGTTAATTAACATTATTTTTTCTGTCATTGAAATAGTTTATTTACAATATTGCAACAAAAAAATTTGACATTAAAGTTGCAGCTCATATTGATTTAAACAACATTTAATATTAAGGGAGAATATTGACACACAAAAACCGGTTTTGGGTGTGCCACATAACCAGGATAGGGTGCATGCAAAAATATTGTAATACATCATTACATGCACAGTGTGATGAATAGAGGATGCCTATATTGTGTGATTTGATATTTGCTTTATTCAACCAGTTGAAATGGAGTATATTTGTGAGGCCTGCCAAGCGAATATACACCAGTGCAAGAAGTTGGATAAGGCAAGTATCAAATCACACAATTATAGATGGTTTATTTATCTAATACAATTTTGTTTTGTTTTTTTAACAAAACGAGAACACCACATATGTTATCTCCTTTATGAGCACTGAGGTATTTAAACCTTGCATTCATTACACCCAACTGCTTTTACCTGGCATATAGATGTCATTTATGTTATGACCATGCAAGTCTATTGTATTGACAATGGAAGAAATGTCTGTTCAGTTCTGTGCAGCAAAATACTTTGAATTCTGAACAATGCTTGAAGCATAAGTAAGTGACAAATTTGAGATTCAAGAGTAAAAATAATGGACAGAGATAACTCTCTTCCTCTTTTGAATCATGTTCAGCTTTGAGAACAAATATGCTAGCCCTTAATAGTAGATGACAAATTGTTTTTACTATCATTACAGATTTAAAATTTAGAATTGATCTCATTTTGATATTGCTAAAAGAGGAACAGGGTTTATCTTTTTCAATATTTCTTGTGCGAGATTCATTTTCAAGTTTTCAATTATGGACATTATGTTCCAGTACTTCAATACCACCATTAAATGCAATTCCTTTGCTTGGTTGAAGCAGACTACTCCCATTTTCTATTTCTGTTAAATTTTACAGAACCACGATGATGGCACACAAGACAAACCATATGGACATGCTCTTGTAGCAGGAATTGACCGTTACCCACGAAAAGTGACAAGAAAAATGGGCAAGAAGAAAATGAAGGACAGGTCTAAACTGAAGGCTTTCCTGAGAGTATACAACTATAACCATCTGATGCCCACTAGGTATGTCCATAAGAATTACAGACTACACATTTTAAACGTTTGAAAATATATATAAATGATAATGTCACACCTTCCTTAAACGTCACACAACAGGCTATGGAGAACTGTGGATCAGGCTTGTGTTATTGATATGAATTCTCTTAGGAGCAAGGCTCCTGCTATCCATTGTCTTGAGCCACAGTTAGAAATTCACTTAAACATCTCTGCTACATTTACCTGTGGCTGCTTAAACACATAAATTGTCGTAAGGCCACATAAAATTAAAATTACAGTTCTCAGGCCCACACACATCCATTTTTTCGAGGTAGCAGCATAATTTTATTTTTTATAAAAAAAAAAAGTTGGTATTGCAGAGACCAATCTGGAAAAAATAGTTCCGTCCTCACTTTTTTGTTATATATAGTACTCAAATATCACTGGTAGCCATTTGCATAAAGATTTGGCTACTTCGTATAAAAATACATTCGAAGACATTGCCTATGATGTTCACACATTGACAAGCAATGTATAATGCAAACCTTTTGATTAGAAATGGAAAGTATATCTATGAACAAAGAATTTTTATCATTATGTTAAAGTAAATTAAAATTTAAAAAATACCTTCCTCACTTTATTGCCAATAAAATGATAAATAAAATACCGATTTTCCTTATCTGTTTCGGAGAAAATTGGCCTGAAAACCAGAGAACTAAATTTATATAGCCTAATCTTGAATATGTTAGCCTCTATCGTGTTCAGCCAATGAAAGTATCTTTTACCATTGCAATGGAAATCAGGCCATCTCTAAATAATTGTTTAGTTGCCTCTCCCGAACAACAAAAAAATTTTTCTAACCACCATCAGGGTTTCAGATTGAAATAAGTAACTAAAGGACATATGGCATATTTACCAGAAAAGTTATAGGCCATAATGTCTTAAACTTCCTAAAACTATAGGCCAATAGAAAAGTTAAACTAAGATTTCTCTCAGACTTTTACAAAAAATCATTTAATTACATAGAATACTGTAGACGTACTTTTTTCCACGGGGTCATAATTCTGCGGAATCTCAATTTCTGTTTAATCCGCGAGTAGAAAATTACGCGGATTTTCTGGATTTTCACTATATGCCTTACATTTAGATTAAGTACGCTTAGACAAACTTCCGCGGAAAATTTGTGTCCGCGTACATAGCGTAAATTAATACCACGCGGGAAAAAAGTACTTCTACAGTATTCAAAAATGTTAATTTGTTTTGAATAAAGTGGAAAATAATATTTTGTTTCTTCTAAGCAAAATCAATTTATTGAAACAGAATAGGAATTGTTAGTTTTCATACATGCCAACTTTTGAAAATTTTCTTGGGGGAGATTGCGCGTAACGACATTTTTCAAAGTCCCTAATTCGCGGCATTTTGTTGTGAATAATAACTATTTGTAGGGTTTTATTTTTTAAATGTCAATCTACTACCTTGTATCATATATTATCACTACTTCAAAAAGTGTTTTCTTCTCTATCAACTTCAACAAAAGCACAAATACAATATCATTTGAAATTTTAAAAAAACAATTTTATTCAAAATCATTTAATATGTTAATATTAACTTAAGGTAAACATATCCCCTGCCTAAAAGAATGTGATGCACAAACAGATTATTACATGAATAAGTATGTTAAACTTTACAAATAATCTGAATCAAGTTAAGTTTATGCTGCAGTTACAATGTCCCAGGTTACTGTTCATTGTCTGTTGGTAAATTACAAAGTTTATAAGGCTACTGTCACAGACACATTTTTTTTTAAATCAGAGGGAATATCAAGAATTAATTTTTAACATTTTTGTTCAAAGTCTGCAAAGGCATGGTCTTTCCCTTTCTTTTTCTGAATCACTCCTAATGGTTTGTACTTGTAGTTGCAGGCAAATCTTTTCATGTTGGATTTGGGCAGTGTCTTTTCCATGAAGTAGATAATTTAATGAGAAATGCCATATTTCCAAAATTTGGAAACCTTTTATATAAGGTTTATACGTATATTGTCAAATTTTGCTGTAAAGTGAACTCTCACAAGTTTGTCAGTTTGTATCCTGTCAAGTGTATTTCTAAAATTTCCACATCTGGCGTAATTGTCTAGGTTAAAATACACTGTTAATGAGGTTCAGGAGCAATTAAAACCATTGTAATGACTGGTAGCACAGTTGACACCTTGTTGATTACCTGTTATCAGCGGCAATAAACAGATATCCTACCGATAGACATTGTAACAGCCATGTTTTCTGCACACGGAAATACTGTATTATTCAAACCGATTCGGTAAAAAATCCGGATTTTCGAAAAATCGGTAGATACGGGGTGAAAAAATAAATCGGTAGGCAGGCGGTAGACAGGGTTTCAAATCGGTAGACTCCCGAAAAAATCGGGAAAGTTGGCATGTATGAGTTTTTTTTTTGACGTTTACAGATTGCCTAGACTAAAAATGTTTTCCTTTGTATAGTAAAACCTTGCAATATTGTCCATTTCCTGCAATTAATCTGTCCCCATGTTCAATCATGGCTGTAAAAATATCAACAGATATCAACAAGAGCAAAGTTTTTATTGAATACATGTACCCTTATGGTTGTACAGAAGAACACAAGTAATCTGAGTACAGAAATAAAATTTTATCATTTGAAAATACAAGCTTGACAGCTGTTGAGACAGGACTTTGCCTGCTGTTTGTCATGTTTACTTACTACTACGTACCTAACCCATTACACAGTCATTATAAATGCCGCCAAAACACTCTTTATTAGCATGATTCATTGTGATATGCAAGCAATTGACCAAATGCTTCAATAACAAGGTCGGATCTTAGAAAGTTTACGAAGTTTGGATGCCATTCTATCAGGAACATTATTTATACACGTCTCTGGTTCTATCAAAATTTGTACAGCTGCCATAACATTACGTGATCTAAGTCCATGTGATGCTTTGTAAAGTGTTCTTCAAACATTTTCTTGATAGAGAATCTTTACAAATAAAATCTCGATCCTGATCTTAAAAATGGACATTTCCAGCCCAAATTTTCTCAGTCGCGAAAATGCGAGTGTGTTTTCATTTTTAGTCGCAAAATCCATATTTTGGTCGCAAATGCGACCATTTTAGTCGCAACTTGGAGCACTGCCAAAGGGAGATAACTAAGAAATTGTGAAAAGGATGATGTGACATAACTCCTATCTGGGGCCCCTTTTTCCACGACGAATTAGGTTTAATCTACAACGATGTTGGTAGTTTTCAAACACGAGTGAATAAATACGACGCCTTTTGAATAGTTTCAATAGTTCAGACACTTTTAAATTATAAGGAATACCGCAATATCTTTGATTTTTTAGACCCTATCACAGCTAAATTCGGCCAGGTTTGTGCAAATATTTTGTCTTATGGCAAGAGAATGGGCGGGTCTTAGTACAATAGAGGGATATGCGTGTCCGAGAAGACCTTATATGGCTATTGTTGTTATTTCGCACTTAGTCATTGTCCAATCCGATGACAGAACAACAAAACATGCTGGTTTACTACGTTTACATTTTATCGCAGACACGTGGTTTAGGTCAATTTACCTATTATCCTATTCCACATTTCAAACTTTTATAAAGGTCAGCCAATGCTGTTTATACTTAATAATAAGCATGGATTTTCAGTATTTACGGTTTTTAGGACTACAAATGCGCATGAAACTTGTATTCACCGATACTCGTAAATACGTATAGACCTAGCGAATTGCTCACCAAACACGCTACAAAACTTTAAACTAATGTATACATTTCATGTATATTCTATCAATTGTTTGTAACAGTATATTATAAATTTTACTGTGGTCTCGGAAATGGTACATATGTAGATCTGTGTCTAATCTGTGACTCAAATGCATAAAAAGCAGTAAACTTCCAAGCATGTTTCCATAGTATTTTTGTGGTACTCACTCGTAACGAATTTCATTTAGCTGATTGGTCAGTTAGAAAGAATCGCCTGTGCCTCGATTAGCATATGAATTCATTCTTACGTCAGAAAATCTAGTTCCGTCGATCTGTTTATAATGGGAAAGGCCAACCAGATTTTACAATATTTTGAAAAATAGCATGTGAGCGCAGTTAGGTACAATTTTCTCCTTTCACATATAGGTAGATTTCGATAAAATACAGTGACCAGACAAAGGAGAAAATTGTACCTACCTGCGCTCGTATATTTTAAGGGCTTCAAAGAGTGGGGCGGGGTTAAAATGCAATGGGAATTGAATGTAAACATGATACCCCTACCCCAATAAAAGATCTATATCTTTCAAATCACGTCTCTATTTTTGTTAAAAATAGTATTCTATAAAGGTTCACATATCAGTGATTAGTTACATACAAGAATTTGAGTAAAATTTAGACATTTAATTTTTATCAATATACGAGGGGCCGCAAGTCACCTCATCCCTTGGCGGGTGTATTTAAAAATCTTTTCCTTAAGAATCAGTGGGCTGGAAAAATGAAACTTATATGAAAGTATTTTGATATAATTAATGTAGATTCATATCTGTCCAAATCATGACCCCAGTGGGTATGGTGGGGCCACTATGGTGAATCAGAGTTTTGCATAAAAATATCTGGGAAATTTCTTTAAAAATCTTCTCAACAAGAACAGCAAAGCCATGATTGGTGATATTTATAGGAAAGCATCCTTAATAAGTGTAGATTCATCTTCGTTCAAATCTTAACCCTCGGGAGTAGGATGGGTCCATTATGGCCAATCAAATTTTTACATAAGGCCAAACAAATTTTTACATAGAAATATATTGGAAAATTATTTTAAAATCTTTTTAAGAACAGGAAAGCCATCCTTAGGTAGTGTTCATTCAAGTTTGTTCAAACCATCACCCCTGAGGTGAAGGCCTAAAGGAGTATTAAATTCAAGTTCCCCCCCCCCCCCCCCCCCCTTCCCAACCTGTGCAATTATCAATACTGAATAGGGCTGAAACGATTCACCGAAATATCGATATTGTTCGATATAAATGCTCGGTTCAATGTTCGATTCACCATCTCGATTTTCGGTTCGATACGTTTTTTATAATCGGGTTTGGTTAACTCTTTGAAATAGATCGGGTTCGACCTTATTTTAACAGTTTGACACACACGAGGGAGAAAATTGGGACGGTAAAGTTTCAAAGTAGACTGCCTCTGCTATTATTTATATGAATAAAGTGTTCTTATTCAACAGAACCACAAGTATCAGAGATGTGGAATT